TGAGTTTAAAGGGAAAGAGAACAACACAAAACAGACAAGATCAGTAATAAAGCTGAAGATGTCAAAAGCTCAAATTACGATAAATTCTTTTAATTTATTTCAAAGCCAGAGTATTTCTTATTATTTCTTAAAGAGGCTGTTTGATTTAGTTTACCCATGAATGTTAATTAATGCATTAAAGACACAATATGTAAACCCCTCGATTTCCGGTTTTGTTTTGTAGAAAACATGGAAACACCAAAGACGCTTTAATATGTTGTGCGCTTTAATAGACCGGTGACGACTGCACAGTGTAGCATAATAACAGAACTTTCAAATGTATCTAGTATGATAAAACAGTGCTGCTTTTTTCCCCCCCCACATACGAGCGACCGGAAGGAGTGGAAGCGGTCGACTGTGGCATAATAAAAGCTCCGCTGCTTTCGAGCCGTGCGTCACGTTCATTCAGCGGCCTCGTTTCGCTTCGACGGCTTTCAGCCTCACCCTGCTTCATTCTACTACGTTAATAAATCATTGCTCATCCATGAACATGATTTCTGCCCGAGTCCCGTCGGATTGCATCGGCTGTGGGGTGAAGATGACAACTCCCATGATTCCACACTCAGTCACGGCGTCATCAAACTACGCCTTTGTCTCTTTGTTTGTTTTGAATACGTGCCCTCCAGCAGCGAAAATTACATATTGTGCCTTTAACTATCAAACATGTACTAACATGTAGTTAAAGCTGCCGTTTTTCAGTTGTGAATCCATTTGACTCCAGTTGTTGTTAAGGATAGCTCTTCATTAATTCATGATTAGTTAACACCTTTACTAATTATTAGTATTTGATGAATAAAGTATTAATTTATTGTAAAGCGTTACCATTACTCCTTTAAGCAAGTTAAAAAATGGAATGTAGTCTAGAATTTTGAAGTAAACATTGCCTCAAGATTTAAGAAATCACTGAAGCAAACAGTCAGTAATATAAAAATAAAAAAGCAATTTAGACATGCAACAGTAAACACAAGTGCACTATAAAGTAAAACAAATGCACAAGGGTGGATTTCAAAGCATTATGAAAACATTCATTTGATTTACACTCATATACTGTGCAATCTGTCTGCAAGTTCAAGTGTTACCTGAACTGGGCTCATCAATAAATATTCAAAACACTCCAATCTTACTTAATCAACTGAAAGTATACAGTGAAGTCACATCTCAGGGGCTGACACTCAACTAGCGTACTTGTTACCAGAAGAAGTGTACTCGCAGCAATTTCCTTGATTAAGAGTTATTCTAGGTCACTGTTTTTCTCTACTTCCTGCTGTTAAAGTAAAAACACCAATTTCCTATATTCTTGGTACGCCTTCATCTGCACCCACCTCAGCAAATGCAGTCAACTGACTGAAGAGGATATGACCTCCTGTGGAGACTCAGATGCACCTGAGGCTGGAGGAGCTGCTGAGCTGGTTCAGATGAGGTTAAACACAACAGCAGTTCTTCAGATGCCTGACCTCGGCCTTGGGTTTTAAAGTCCCTCTTTCAATTTTCACGCTTCTCAGAATTGTGAGTCGAACAACAAACCGCCAACTGTGGGTACGAAGCTTCAGGCTCTAACTAACATGTCTTTCTTTTCTGAAAACCCCTATAGTTTTGCCAAGGCAGCCCCTTCAAAGTTATTCAAAAGCTCATTGATGTTAATGTCATTGTTTTATAATTGAACAAAAACTCAGCATAAAGCCTTTTGTTTGCTGGTATGTTTTATCTGTAACATCTGCTCGGCTTAGACAGAACCCCTAAAATAATCAAGTTACCATAAAATCAACATTCAAACTAACTGCAAAACTACAACAGAGATTCAATAAAGTTTAAGTGTACTTTCCTAGTTTCCTTCTGTACTATCTACTTTTCTTCTAGTTTGTAAGTACATATCCCTTGCACTTCATGACAATGTGTCCAAATGTAAACACATTTCTGTATGGGAAATACAGACTGCATGGGTCATGTAGTAACAAATACGTTTGCATATGAATTTACCTTGAACAGTAATGAATCCTCCATATGCTCGGCGTACACAGAAGTGAGCCGGTACTGGTTCTCCACGGTGATGTCGATCTGGTACCCGGTGAGAACGTAACACGCAGTACGGAACTCTTGAATCTTCTTCTGGAACACTTCCTTCAAGCGCTGGTTCTTCAGTTCTGCACTTTCCATCTGCTTGCGCAAGTCTGAAGAACATGTAAATTGTATTTAGTCATAACCATAACAACATTCAAATAATATATACAATATGGTCTGAACAAGTAATTTCAAACATGCAATTTCAAAATTAAACTGAAAATATTGACGTCAGACAATATGTGCTAATGTCTGAATATAAGATTTTTTTTTAATTGAAAGAACAGCCCAGCAGTCCAACTTCAACTAAAAGAGTGAATTCTATCATAATTTATTCACCATTTGTGCACTAAATTCTATGCCTTTTAATATCAGCTTTGGGCTACAGACCAAAATTTAAGTCGCTTTTAAATGATAATCTTTCTCTCCAGTGAGCTGAACTCAAAGTTGATTAGTTTACTTCATGAATAAATGATTGAGACTGTTTTTCTTAAATGGCACAATTAAATCTTTGAAAAGACTGAACTCCAGAAGAAAGATTTGTTCATTACTCAGACATTGTTACTGTTCTCAACAACCAAAAAGCTGGTCTCTAGCAATTGCATGAAAAAATTGTGACTCGGGGAAGGTTTGTAATGACATGAAAGTGAGTAAATGGTGATTTCTGAGTAATACAACCAGACAACAATATTGTTTTAGACAAAATATGAAAAGGGACCAAAAGCAAAATGTAAAAAAAAAAAAAAAAATCATAAAATCTTTCTAAAATTCACATATCAAAAGGTGAATCTCATGGCAAAGTTGTTGGAACACTTTTAGCTCCAACTTTTAGTTTCATACATCCGGAGATTTTTGCTATTTACCACAATATATCAACTTCTAATCAAAATTCACTTCCAATCTACCAAAATAATGACTGTAATAGTTGATTCTGACAAATCAAATTAGTCAAGTTAAAAAAAAAGGCACCAATCCCATCAAGGTCTTATCTCAGTATTCATTTGAATATTTAATTAGAGAACAACACAAAATCGACAATTTAAATGAGCCGAAATGCCACCTGTGTCTTATAGCTTCAATATAAAGCTTCTGTATGTACAACAGCAGTTTGAATTCTCTTATGGGGCTTCATGAAAATTTGATTACGAACAATAAAAGTTCCACAGGAAAAGAGATAAGTGTTCTGCTACTGTCTACTGTAATTGCACACTAGAACAGTGCAGTTAAACCGCAAAAGTTTCAGTCATCACAACTGAATGCACTGATGTGCTGCACACTAGAAGAGTCGGCCTTTTGTTCGGTTGTCCTTTTCCTTTAACCATTCATCAGGATCACTTTTAATTATATATCATGTTAATGTCTCTTCTTTTTTGTCTCCGCTGGAAGCTTTCTGAAAACACTTTGTTCGTTTTCCGTACAGAGAGTAGGATAGAAATTACATACTGAACTCTCAACACAATCACCTTTAAAATGAGCTGCAATTAAAAAGTGCTGTATGTGGCCCTCATCTACATCAGTACACTTACAATTACCATGTCATGAACTTTACTGAAGCTGCATGAAAGTTGCATGGACTGTGTTGAGATATGATGCCCTGTCAGGAGGGGAGTAGTTTTTCCTGAGGAGGTTAGGTTCATTTGTGCTTTCCAGACTTACTTTATGATTTTAATCTCTTCTGAATTGAATAGTGTTTTTCCTCATATAACCTTGGTAAAAATGATGGAGTAAATTTTCTACCTTTTTTTTTTATCTAACCCAGGGGAATAATTAAGAAATCTACTTTCGTATAGATAGGGATATTTATAACAGGACGTTTGGCAACCACACAAAGTTACCAAATTGTCTTTATTCTACACAAAATATTTATTATTCTATTGTCCTATATTTCTTCAAAATAAATGTGTAATGTAAAGACACTCGCACATCTTTAAGTGTGGCTTAAGTGTCAAAATTCTTTCTGGGGCCACTGTTTATACTCTGCTTGCAATATTAGAGATGGCATAACCAATCCTGTTACCTAAAGCTAGTACACAAAAGGGAAATATCGATACACAATCTTCTCAGTGTTCGTAATGAGCACACATTTAAACACACAAACACTCTTATGCTCTGAGCATGTATTAAAAAACAGGCCCTAAGTTGAATTTCAGTAACGGTAAATATTACACACTTTGTAAGTAATTTATGAACCGTTAAATATGCCATACAAAAAATTTAGTTTAGTTTATTTCCAGTTTCCATTACTTGAATAGTTTCTAATCTCTGTAAATAATTGATCAATAAATAAATTAAAAGAAAATTTCCTCTATAAAAGAGTTTGAGATTGTTAGAACACAAACCCAAAAAGCTGTTTATGTACTTGAGAGAACTTGTTCTTATCATTTGTAAAGACAACAAAGCCACAAAAATCACATTTATTCACTGATTTTGAACTAGATTTGTGAAAACACATGAGCTTGTAATCAAACACTTGAGATGGGAGAAAAACAAGGTCATAAAATGAGGGACGAACAGTGAATAGCAAAAAAAGATAAAGAAAAAAAGCAGCAGCGGCCAATTTAAAAGCAGACCTCAGGGTGTTTGTTTACTCATGGGTCTGAGTCCTAATTAGACTCGTGCCTCCTTCAGAACTCATTCAAACTGATGGCCAAACGAAAATAAAAATGAGAGAGAGTGTGAGAGTGAGAGTGAGAGAGAGAGAGAGAGAGAGAATTAAGTAAATAAATGAGTCCCAAAGAAATATGGATCGTCAGCACACTACACTAGAGTCCAATTAAACATTTAGCCCTGGCTATATATATATAAATAAAATGTCTAAATCACCATGTTGAATTAGGAAGAACCTTTTTCCCACAATCCTTGTGTTGTCATATCCAACTCCACAGGTGGAAATCCATTTGCTATCAATCCGGTCAAATGGTCAAGCTATATCAACTTGTCCAAAATACAAATTTGTCAAATTTGTATTTAAAGGAATAGTTCACCCAAAAATGAACATTTTGTCATCAATTACTCACCCTCATGTTGTTCCAAACTTGTATAAGTGTCTTTCTTATGTTGAACACAAAAGATGATATTTTGAAGGCTGCTGATAATCAAACAGTTGTTGGTCCCCATTGACTTCCATTGTATTTCTTTCCCTTCAATGGAAGTTAATGGGGACCAACTGTTTGGTTTTTCAAAATTCTTAAAAATATCTTCTTTTGGAACAACCTCAGGATGAGTAAATTTGGACAGAATTTTCATTTGTGGGTGAACTATCCCTTTAAGGTGCTACATGTACTTTGGTATTTGTGCATTTCCTTCCTAAAATGTACTTTTTGATCTGCTACTTACACATAATTGAGACCATAAAATGCTTGCTTTCACCCACTGAAAATCATGAAATATTTTTTCATTCTTTTGTCATCCCTGAGAATAAAAAGCGGGGACTGTTTATAACTTCTGGTGATGAACTGGACATGTCAACAATGCCATTAAATAACGATAAAGGGACTGTGTCTCTACCTGACCATTAAAACATCCTATTTCACAAACACTTGTGTAAAAAGGTATTTACCCAGTATTTCCTGTGAAGGTGGAATGATGAGAGTAGTGTCGTCTGTCGTCATGCCACCACCCGCCTCAATTTTCCGGAGTCGGTCCCTCAAGCGTTGACACTCGACCCTCAGCTGTTCCACCTCTTCAGTGCGCTGCTGCTTTGCGATGCTAGTGGGGTTCATTTGCAGGTGGATCACCTTTGTCGTGACAGGATCATAGCCTCCCTAATACATGGAAAAGTTAAGAGAGTCCAAAAAAACGTATAAATTTCATTAAAATAAGGAACGAGTTTGCGAGTATAAAAACATTTTTAAAGTCTTTTGATTTGATTCTTCCAAAGAAAAGAGTGCAGACAATATGCCTAAACGCAAAGATATTACCATTTCTTTTAATTGTTTTGGCATGTGAAACCATTGTAATTGTTGACTGATGTAGACTTTGATCAATGAAATCAACACTGAAAAATAAATAAATAAAAAAGGAAAATGAAACTGAAAAGACAAAACAAAAGTAGTCTGTAAACCATGCTTTTTTCTAAAATCCGATCTGAAAATCAGTGCCTTTGAATTGTATTTTGCTTACATAAGTACACAAATTCAAATAAAAAAATATACTCAAAATTATGACAATGAAAATGTCAACTCCAAAAAGACGACAAAACACTTGTTAGAACTTAAGAACAAAAAGATGCTAAGAGAGTCAGAAAATTAAGTACAAATTTTATTAAAACAAGAATGTAGTAGTTGGCATTTTTTGAAAACGTTTGTAATTTTTTTATTTAATTCTTCCAAAGAAGAAAAGAGTGCAGACAATACACATCAACGTGAAACTAATTACCACTCCTTTCGATAATTATGGCATGTTAAACTATTATAGTTGTTGATGAATTACTTAAATCAACATTAAAATAAAAGTGAATAAGACAAAATGAAAGTTGTCTGGAAGCATAGCATGCGGTTTTCTACAATCCTTAAAACACATCCGATCTCAAAATATTTATTTCCAAAAAAATCTGGAAATAAATAAGTTCAAGTGAGAGACATTACTAAGGTGGGTCCAACAGCTCATTTGTTAAAAATGAGCTTCATGAAAGCTAACCAGTTAACCTGAGGGGTTAAAATCAAGTCCAATTTCACCGTAAAAATACATTTATCCGAATTACCCTCCAAACAAAAGGACCAAAGAAGTGATAGTTCATCCCTGTCTGAAACGAAAGGCTTTATCTTCTGGAACGATTCTTCATTTGGGTGTAAAACTTCAGGGGTTTAAAAGCCATTACTGAACCTTCTGGTGAATTAAGGGCCCCATCAAAGAATAATGCCTCGATCTGAACATCTCATTACTGAGCAAATTACATCACCCTGAGCTGAAGACAGAGAGGCAGAGAAGAGGAATAGAGACTGAGGGTTAAGGAGCAGATGACATAACTGCAGAACAGAAGGCAATGAAAGAACAGAAACAACTAGAATTACTAAAAATGAAAGATTAAACTTTTGTTAAAGTGTTACACAATAAGTTGGGGAAGAAGGATAACACGAACAAACTCAGACATGCCACAATGATCTATACCAGGGTTCCTCAATTAGTTTTTGCCGAGGGCCAAATTCTGCCAACAATACCAAGCCAAGGCCCACTGACCTATATATATATAT